TTACCAAACAGTATGATGCTTGCTCCCATTCCCACAACAAATAAATCCTGTTTCTAAACAGTTGATTCCTGTTATTTGCCAGTGTTGATGTGTGATCCTGTTGCAGCAATTGATCCTCCTGCTCAGGAAGATTTTAAAGATTTTCTGTTGTTACAGATCAGCATGATCCTACTTCCTTTTTCCTTTTCAGGAACAAAACTAAGTCTTTTCCCAACTGTGTGGGTATGCACTAACCACCTTTTTCATGACCAACAACTCAGACTGTCTCGATGTGATGGTAAATTGCCTATATCTTCAGTGCATATCAACGGTGCTGCGCTGTACATATTGCTCAGGCTTATCTTCTGCTGAATCCTCAATGACTTGGCTGCCCAAAAATGATAACATCAAGATGAAAGAATGGAAACTGGCCATGGAAAACACAATTATGTGCAACAAGTTTTCAATAAGTGGATTCTAGCCATTTCTAGGCCATGTTATTAGATCCGTACTCTCAGCTATTGTTTGTACATGGAATTATTCACTGATAATTAATCTTTGATTTGGCTGAGAAAAAATGTCACTTGGGGGTTAGCATTAAGAAATTATGGCCAATATTTTTTTTTTTTTTTTTTTTTAATGAAAAAATAATTTTTTTCACTTCAAAAGAATTTTTATTCAAACTTCAATCCTTTCTCTTTAAGTTGATGTGACCATCATTGAATAAAAGGAACCACTATATGACCTGATAATAGGAAATATGAAGGACATGCAGCAAAAAAAAACAAAAAAACAATCAGCGCAATTTCTTTTTCGTCTGGGTTGGTTTGTCAGGAGAGTGAACACTCTCCGGTGGCTCCCCGTCCTTGTCACTGCAGCCCACCAGAATACCTTTAATCGACCTCCCTCTGTATTTATTCAAGATGGTTGTCTGCTCAGTGTTTTTTTCATCACCCTGGTCATGGGTCAGCACAAAAAAAAGCACACACACACAAGCCATGTTCAGGTTTTTTTTAACAGCTTTAACTGACACCATCTTGAATTTCTTAACATGGGTTTTAAAAAAATAACCCATATGAAGTCCTTTTTTACAATGTTACCTTCTTTTTTCCACTCTTTGTTCTTATTTTGTAAATGGTGGGGTTTATCACCAGCTGATAACAGCTTGTTTTAACTTATTGCAAGCTGGCTGGCTTTGAGCCAGCCATATCAAAGTCAATTTGGCTTAATTTGAACTCTATTTTCCTTCTTGTTGCTATTTTTTGAAAAAAAAAAAAACTCCTGTCAATTATTTTAACCCCTGGCAGCCCTATAATGTAAAATTACCAAAAGACTTCGTCGCATTTTACCCCCTATGAATTTTGTTTTCCTTCAAACTTTCAATTTTATGCCTGAAATAGTTTGATTATGATTTAGGCTTTCTGATTTTCCAAAAAAAGTTAATTTCCCTTTATTGGGGAAAATTTTGTTTAGAACTAGAAAAAAATGGCAAAATTTTCACTTTTTTTTTTTTTCTTTCACATTTTACCCCCTGAAAAGTTTTTTTTGAGTCATTTACACCAGCCAATTTTACTTTGAAATGAAAGAGCATATTGCCTAGGATACTATTGTGACCATCCCACGGCATTGGATCGGCCTTCCGGGAACCAGGCCACAAAGGTCCCTCGTCCCGGAACAAATTCTTCGTCGACAGCGACGAGGCAGGTAGCTAGAAGCCAGTCTCTTAGTCGACTCCACCCATAGTGAACTCCGCTTCATACGTTGAAATCAGCGCAATTTCTTTTTCGTCTGGGTTGGTTTGTCAGGAGAGTGAACAGTCTCCGGTGGCTCCCCGTCCTTGTCACTGCAGCCCGCCAGAATACCTTTAATCGACCTCCCTCTGTATTTATTAATTTTCCATATTGCTGGCACCAATGCAGCTATAACTATTAAGGTACCTAACACGGCTGACCAATTTATTATAATTTTCTTACTATCCTTCCAGACCATGCCTCCTTCTTCCAACATCTCTAGTTGGTCCCTAAATTGATTCAAATTTATCTTCTCGATAGGTTCTAATAACGTTGTCATCTGCTCTAAAGTATTGTTGGGGAATTTCTTTACTATAAGATTCCATACTTCCGTATAATTATCTAAATTCCCGTTAATTCTACAACCGAATCTTTTTCCTCATACCTCTCCTCTCTCTGATAGTGGGGGGGGGGGTAGAGACATGGATACTCCGAATGCTGAGCATCCAAGGGGTAGTTTCACTAAGGATAGCGGTGGCTTTACTTCTATTGTCCCAGTGGATTCCATGCTCATCATCATCATCGTCATCATCATTAGTAGCATTGGTCTGCATTACTTTAATTGCATTAGGTGATATTATTATTAAGTGAAAACTATATTTACTAATCAAAAATATGCATTTTGCACCAAGATTTTTTAAATAGTTTTTTTATGTATATAAAATATTATATAATGTGCCCATTTTTTTAAAATTATAGTCAACCATATACAACATTATCGGAAACTAAGAGTTATGACTGTAATCAATTTGAAGTCAACATTCCTAAAATCAGATTACAGAGAATATTTTCCAACATTTCTAAGATTACTGAGTATTTAAAAATTATATAAAAATGGTGCTCACATCATTTTCTTATGTTTTATACTTTAACAGATTTCTGTGTTATTTCAAACTTAAGGTAAATAATATTTTTTCAAATAAGATTAATTATACTTTAAATTGGCTAATATTCCTCAAATAAAGTTCCAGAAAAGTATATTATATTTCTGGATGATTTTTTTTAATAAGAGAATTACATTGCAATGAAAGATGACTAAAAAAAAAAAAATTAATTCCAATGAATATAATCTATTTGAAATACACCTGAGTATTTTGCTTACTGGAAATAGTAAATTTAATCCTTTAGCTTTCAATGAAAGCTTCAAGAAAGAAGTTTCATTTTCATTTTTAAATATTCATTTTAAATCTTAGGTATTGCATATTAGCAGAGGTCAATAATATAATACAAGGGTATTTGATTGTACTAATGTATGTGTGTGCCTAAAAAAAAAAAAAAAAAAAAAAAAACTTGGAAATTTATTGGAAAGTGGTTCTACAATAGCCACAAAGCTGAAAGGAAAAGGCCGAGAGGAAATAACCATTCACTAATTTCTGTTCAATTGTATGGCAAATGAAATAAGCTTTTATGAAAACTTTCAGTTTCTAAATTCAGTGTACATTTTTTTTTTGCAAGTTATAAAATTTAAAGTTTTGACAGTATTGCTGCAACTGTCCTACGAAATGTGCTCCAGAACTGACTCCTGTTCTCCCCAAACTCTACAATAAATTGCTGCTTCTTGCTTTCCAGCTTGTGGGAAATCCTCCTTGGTAGTTCCTATGTTTAATCTTGTGTTAGTCACATGGGATATTTTGTTACTCTCAAAATTTTTAAGTACTCGTAATTCCTAGTTGACAACTTGTTTTTTTTGCTCCCTCCCACTACCGACTCAGTGAGAGTGTGTCTTTTCTATAAATACTTTCATGGCAATCTAATGAGCTCCCTTCTTTGGTACCGTGACTGCAGGAATTTAAGCATATTGCTAGAATGGCAACTAGGTCTCCAAATTATACTAGCTAGATATAACAATAAATTCTATAGTAATTGTTTATTTTCTTGTGCTTCTCCCCTGTGAACTTCTTTTCCAGTCTCCTTGCCACCTACAATTTTCAAAAATTTAAATGCAACAATGCAATGCCAATCACCATCTTCCAGTATTGTGTTCTTTTATTGTCCTTTTTCCTCACTAAAGTCTTTTCATTTTCTTTCACTCCCAGTAACCCTTGTGTCTTAGTGGCATTGTCGCCTTGCTTGGGGTGAAATAATATAATTTCATTAATACATGTGAAAAGTATTCTACAAGCAAAAATAGATTTGTTAAAAGAATGTTATTTTATTTAGGAAATTTTTTTTCTTAAATGTATTTTGTAAATTTTTAACATGAATTTATTGAACAGTTATTTAAATGGCTCTTATTTATCTGTCTTTTCCTGAATGAAAGCAAGTCTACATTTTTAGTTAAAAAGTTCTTCCAGCTGAATTATATTTTGAAATTCAGTTTAAGAAAAATATTTTAAAGAATTTTTTAGTATTAGGACAAAGGAAATTGTATAGGTGTATAAAGCTGAACAATCATTAACACAAAATTAATTATTTGGAAACAATGCATTAAATTTGAGTTATTAAATTTTTGCACAACCAATCTGTAGTATGGAACTGACACTTAAGGTTAGTCACAAAATCATTTTTCATTAAAGAATGTATTTTAATAAACTACTGTCTGACAAAGAATATAGAAACAATTTTTTGTCATTATCTTAACATTAAGATAATCTTGGTTTACCAGTGACAAAAGCTTGGACAAGATATCGACTCAAATGATTTTTGGCAAGGCATGAGTCCTTACTGACAATCATTTTGATAATGATATTGTTACTGGTGCACCTCAATGTTAGAAAAGAAAAGGTATGAAGTACTAAATGAGAAATTACTCTTCTCTACCTTGTTCAGTAATGTCTTGAATTGAAGATATATAATCTTAAGTTTTAAAGATATTTTCTCCAATACAAAAGTATCTGAATGTTGCTATAATTGATTTCTTTTCAATTACTTACTCTATCTAGTTCACAGACTACTATATGCACTCATGTACTCAGAAAGTACAGAAAAAGAAATAAATTTTATGGCATGTTAGAAAATGCTAAATCTCAGAGCAAGTCACTAGAAATCATCATACTCAAAAGTAAAAAGTAAAAAAACAATGAAATAATTGGTAAATATAGACTTCAATCAAGCAATGAGTTGGAGAAGAAAGGGATGAATGGTGCACAGCAAATAGCCAATTAATAATGAATGTGGTTTAAAGAACAATCAGGATGTTTGTGGACTTTAAGACACCAAGAACCAGATAAACTCCACTTGACCATAGAAATAGTTTTCTATTCTCAAGCACTGTTGGTGTTCATATCTCTGTTATATGAAAAGTAATGCCTGAACTGTGATAGGAAAAACTCTACAATGACTATTTGTAAATAAGCATATGTAGTTGCTGTTAATAATGAATACAAAACAGGAACATGTTGGGTATTCAAATGAAGCAGAAGTGACAACAGCAAAAGAAGTCATCTTGAGGAAAGAAAGAGGAGAAAAAGAAATGGATGAAAGTGAAATTTTTGACCTAACGAAGGAGAGATGGTAGATAATGCCAATAAAACCACTAGAGATTAGGGTAACCAAGCTAAGGAAGAATGGCTAAATAAGAAAGAGGTATAAAAAATGAATCCTAGATGCAGCAGAACATGCTATTTACCAAGATATACAAAATCCAAAGACAATGATCACCATGAAAATTCTAAATCAATAGTAGAAGGAATACATAAGATAATTCTTTCATAACAATAAAGAAACCTATTATACATGAAATGACCTGTGGTACTCAAATCTGAAGTAAGAACAACTATGGCCAAGATGAAGAGAAACAAAGCAGCAGAATCAGATGAAATTGTCAGAGATGCTAGCAGCCTTAGATGGTTTGGGATTGATAAGGTTATTGAAGTTTTAAATGACATACAATTAAATGAGTGGTGAAATACCATAAGATTTCAGTAAATCAATTTTCATAGCATTGCCAATGAAGTGAAGTGTTAATAAAAGTGAAGTTTACTGAAAAATCTGCTTCATGAGTCATATTAACAAAACTGATCAAGAGACTAATGAATAGAGCTTGAAGCAGAATCAGACCTGAAATATGGAAAATAAATTTTTCAAGAAAAATGCCATACACATGATCAGAGTGCTATCAAAACAGTTAATAGAAATACGTTTTGAGCAACGTAGGCCCAGAAATTATCCAATCATTTTTTTCTATCTTGTAAATTGGCCTCATATTCTTCACATGGCAACTAATCAGAAGTGATTTTATGTACTAACTCATTTGCGGGGTTATTTGGTCAAAAGTGAGATGACATGGAGTGAGCTTCTGTACTGTGTGTGACCATCACATTCACAATGGCCAAGCAGGTAATGTCAGTGAATATACACAGATTTTTGTTTGAAACTTGGACATTTATCCACAGAAACTATTCAAATGACCCAGATTTTCCAGGAAACTCATATTTGGCTCTGATTCCATGTTCTGGAAAGCATCCAGCAATTAGAACACCAAAAAATGTCAAATATGTGTGGGCTGCAAGCAAAGGAAAATTGATAGTGTGAAAATCGGATTTAGAGATTCCATAAATTAATATTTCAGAGATTTTGAGAATGCAAATGGTTCTCCAGGAAAGATAAAATGGAATACTATATCAAACTGAAGAAGGGAAAAAAAAAATTAAATAAAACTTCCTTGTTATCACATTTTGTCCATGGTTTTCTCAGCATTTGCCAATTCATTTTGCCTTCAGCTATGAATCTAACATTCACTGCTATATAGAAAATTAGACATTACACAGTCCAATGTTATTTCTTTCTAAGAACATTTTCTGATCACATATTTTGCTTGGTTTCTAAAAGGCATCTTATGAGCCTTCATATTTCAGTATCATACTTTCCCCTCATCTGCTACTACAGTAGTCAGATCATTAAATTTCCATGCCTTAATTTTGATGTCTTTAATATATAACTCATAATTTCTTTTGCTGACAACTATGCATTCTGCCTTGTTACAATTAATGGTTAATTAATTAATGGTTTTAATTTCTTTTTTGCTCTTATTAACTATATTGTCTAACAATTCTTTCAGAATCTACTATCGGCACAGTGTCATCTGTATAGTGTTAAGGCTATGCTCACTGATAATAAATCCTTGTAGGTCTTCTAGTCCTCTTAAAATCATATCACAGTACAAATCTGGTGAAAAAAAACACATCTTTTACATTTTTGTGTATTCACTAAATCCATTCTCTATCTGCATGCAACCAGTTTCTTCCCTATGGGTAATTTGAGTATCTTTTCTGTGTAAATCAAGCTTTACTAATATTTCAAGAAGCTACACACATTGTATCTTATTAAATGCCTTTGTGTAATCTATGAAACACAGGTATAGATCTTTCTGCATTTGTGTTGCTTGCTGAATATAAAAATCACATTTCTTGTTCCAGTATCTTGAATAAACCCATACTGTTCTTACTCTATTTCTGGTGTAATTCTGTTACAAGATCTATTCATAAGAATTCTAATAATTAGTTATGCAACTCATCATGCTGATGGTGTAATGAAATTCACATTAATGTGCAAGTGTTTTTTTTAGTTTTTTTTTGACAGTGCTAAAAAGAATGAATTGGTATATTATAGAGAACTTTCCAATGTATTCATTGTCTCTCTACAACTTTTTCTTTTCCCCATTATTTCTCCCTTTTTTTTTTTTGATTTTATGCAACCTGTTCAATAGCAAGTTTCCTATCCTGTTATTTCTTTTAGTTTGTTTATGCATGTCTGCTACATATGGAAAATTCGTTGCAATGCACAATTCACTTTGCAAGTAAAAATATTGAGTCATTGTCTATATTTTGGAAAAAAGATCAAAATATTTATTATAAAATAACATTTATTTTTATTAGTTTACATAATTTGTAAAAGATTTTATTCCTGCTTCTTAGTAATGTACAAAAGAAGTTCATAAACAGACTTTTTGTCATTATCATATCCTCAAATCATGCGTTGTTGCTAAGATCACACAGATGACTGATAATTGTTTTTTTATAATTCCAAATTCAATCAAAAATTGATGAGTTTTTTAATACCTTCAAAGCATCTCCATTTGTCAGGTAAATAAAATGGTTCGTGTGTATGGGAAAATGGAGTGTCATAACCACATACACGCTCGATTGGCGCTTCCAGGTGCAAAAAACACTCAGCCTAGAGGAAAAGAGAAAAAAATATATATAAAAATAATTGTGTACAATGATCATAAGAAATTTAAACAAATTTGTCATTAGAATATTAAGATAACATTTTCTTTTTCTTAATCTATCTTATGACATCAGGCAGGCATTTTAAAATTGGTACTACATTCACTGAATTAGCTTTAGAATTTTCATTGCATGTCTTAAAAAAAAAAAAGGAAAAAAGAAGGAATATTTAACCAGCAGGACATGTATGTGACTGAATTTTTAAATTTACTTTTGTTTCATAAGAATTTTAAATGTCTATCATTTCTTGATTGAAAAAGAATTTATATTGTTAACAGGAGATTGTGATGTAATCAAGGTTGAACACTACTTAAAATTTAGGTAAAAATTAAAAGAAAACCTATCTGATTTGAAATTATTGTTGCTTTCATATAACAGCTTTCCTGGCCTTATAACAGAACTTATAACCATTTTAGTAGCATGAACTTAGAATAAAGAAATAGCTTCCAAGAAAACTTTTCTTTTATAGACAGTCCTAAGCAATTTAGCTAAATGACAAACAAATATCCAGTCATAATTACACAACTCTAAATGTTCAAGCCATGCCTTGTAACAGTTTTAAGCTATTTGAAATCTGAGATGAAGTATTTTAGTATTCATTTTTAGTTAATCTTTTTTCATTTTTTTATCCCAACTTTTTGGGGTTGAATTAGTTAAGGTATTGTTCATGAAAAATGAGGGAGAACAAGTTCATCTGAGAAGTTGAATGTTTTTGCTGTTATAAATTGTGAAAACCAAAAAAAAAAATAAATTTAATTTAGGTTGATGGTTCAAAGAAATCTAATTGAAAGAAGAAACATTTATAAAAATGTTTCAAGGATAAACAAAGGAAAACTTCTTTATTAAAGATTTTATGTTTTTTTTTTGTTATTTTTTTTTTTTGGAAGTTTTTATTTTTAAAAAGAAAAACTGTACAGTTAAGAAAATTCAACCAAATTAAAAATTAGTAACCACGTCATCATAAATAAGTCTTAATACAAGAAATGTGTTTTCATAAAGAAAAAATATTTGCCTACTTGAATTTCTGAAGCAATTTCTGCTGCAAATCCACCTGTTACTGGAGCTTCATGAGCCACAAGGAGTCGACCAGTCTTCTGGACTGACTGATTAAAGAAAAAAAAAAAAAAATGAAAGTCAAGATAGTTTGATAAATGCATTGCACAAATACAATGTCAACAGAAAATTTGAGATTGCATAATTTATATTTTTCTTTCAAGGAATATTTTACTGTTGCTCTGTTTGCTTTTTGTAAAATTATTTCTTGATAGAGATTTTCATCGAGAGATGTCTTCTATTTTGGTAGTCATTTTTTTAAGGCTTAGTTTGGAAGAAAAGAAACTCACCTGAACTACAGTGTCTTTGTCCCAGGGTAAAATTGTACGCAGATCTATCACATCACAGCTTACATTTAGACGGTCTTCAGCCAAAGTTGCAACTTCTCGGAGCACATGGACCTGTGTTCCCCATCCCACCATTGTAATGTCATTGCCTAATGAATGTGGTAGAGAAAAGAATATTAGATGAATTTGTAAAGTAACAGAATAATTGAAATTTGTTTAAGTGTGCAAGAGTTAAGCCATATATTTTGAGATACATATAACACACTCAACCCAAAGATTTTATTTGTCCAGATTGAGAAAAGAAACAGTTTATAATCTTTTATAAATTAAAAAAAGAATTTAATCAGTCAAATTGTTTGTTTTTTGTTTTATTTTTCAAACTGTTTTGCATCATTGATCGGTCATTTTTGTGATGATCTTCAATTGTAACTGGAAAAAAGAAACTTGTTATCAATTTCATGAAAGATATCAATGATAAAATCTATCAAGAGCTTCTATATTTTACCTTTTATGAATTTGGTATAAAAATCTATCTTACCTTCAACAATGACCTCTGCTTTTGACAAAGGAATTTCATATGCACCAGTTGGGACTTCTTCTACTGATGATCGATACAAGATTTTGGGTTCAAAGAATATACAGGGATTTCTGTCCTTAATGCAGCTTAAAAGGAGACCTTTTGCTTGGATAGGACCTCGAGGAATAACAATCTGGTAAAAAAAAAAAAAAAGAATTCATTATTCAAACTTAACAAAATGCAACATACGAACTGATGCACACATGCATGAGTGTGAGTGTATATACAGAGATTTACAAAACTTGGCTTAGTCTGACACAAAGTTAATTAGAGGATGAAATTATTGAAACCAGAGAACTTATGTAGTTAAAGCCACTATTTTAGTTTAAGCAAAAGGAAAATGAAAGGAAAGAACATGTACAGTAAAAAAGCTGAAACTGCTAACTTGGAATTAAATTGAACATTTGACCAAATGCTCAAATTGCTTTCATTTCTGATTCAGGTGAGACAAGTGAAGGGAAGTTTTAATTCCTTTCACATGGCTAGATACACAATCTGGTTGTGTGCCTACTGCAACTGGCTCAGTTTGTTGATGTAGTCAGTGGAAGAAAGACAATTTTGAGGGAAAGGAAATGAATGTCAGTTGCATTTATGAAATATACAATCCAGGTTAGAGATAAGTGGCTTAGTGGTAAGAGTCAGCTGACATGGGTCTTGACAGTATTTGGGGTTTCATTGCATTTGGATAGTTTAAGAATTTGGGGTCTGATTGGTATATCTTCTGTTAACTGTATCCAACCACTAGTATTTTTTTCAATACTTGCTTGACAAGAAGTTCATTAGAAGGGAACTGGGCAATAACATTAGATCTTAGCTAGTTATAGCCCTAGGTCAATCCTGGCCAACAGTAACCAATAATGTAACTTTCTCCCCCATATTGGTCTTCAAGTTCCTTCTGACCACTGTGGTTAACAGCTAGCTGACCCCTCACTCATTAATGCACTGCTGATTGGTTGCTAGTATTGTGTTGATGAGCACGGTTCCACTCGATGCAGCTGGCCTTTGTCTCCTTCACAATGCCCTGCCCTCATTGGAGGATGAGATAATTTCTGATGAAGTAAACTGAAGTGAAGGACAGGTTGATGACAAGGTGCTACACAAAAAAAAAAAAAAATCCTTTGGAATAAGGAATTAACTCTGATTAAAAATGTAACAATGATTTGGTTTATATATGATTTGTTGTATACAGCAGTTTTAACAATTCCAAATTGTTGTTATTGTGACACTACTTATCTATGGTAATTGGCTAACTAATTAACCATAGAAATTAAAAACGGGGAAATACTTAAGGCGAGAAAGAGCTATACTGAGAAGTAGACTGAGCAACATTAAAAAGAATTTATTTTATTTACAAAAGAAAGATACTTTTCGCAAAAGACAGAAAATCAGTAAGAAGGAGCGAGACTGTAATTCTGTCAAATTAATTAATGTCACGATAAGGGAGTGATGTGTCAAACAAAACAGAATTCTGAAAGATAAACAAAGTTGGCTGACGCATGTGGCCATGAAAAAATTTCAGCTTGAGACCACCCTAGAGAATAGCCATTGATTATCTTTCAGAGATATCATTTAACTTTAATTCCTGATTCCAGCGAGGGAAGCCATCTGAATCTATGAGAAATCTTTGACATGATGAAAAAGATTTTTTTGAAAAGGTCATTATATTGCTTATTCAAACTGTTGAGTTGGAAATAGGCATCTGGTGATAAGAGAATTTTAAGACATGAGAAAAAAAAAAGAATTTAATTATCAGGTAAACACAACCACCCAGTTAAAAGTTGGCTAAAGTGGATTTGGAATGTGATAAGGAAATTGAATGGCAATTTAGGAATTGTAAATGTTTTGGCTGAAGAAAAAGGAAAAAGAAAAGAAAAAAAGGATTTTGTAAACATGAGGACCAGTCTAGCCACACCCACACTGCCGAGAGATCATTGGCTAAGAAGTAGCATGGGTAATAGGCGGAGGTTGTTAACACCCACTGAGGGGAGTGGCATGAGATACCAATGTGAGAGAGGAAGAGTCTAGGAGGATAACTCTCCTCTGACCTTCTCTCATGGACAAGGGAGGCACCTCTAGTGGAAAGTGATTAATCTTCCAAAAATGGGAAGTAACTAATTTTCCTGGCCTAAGAACAAAGAGAATTCTTGTTGGGAATTGGGAATTGTCAAAGAACCCAAACCATGTCAGGCCCCACCCCGGAGTTGGTCAGTGTTGATATAAACAAATGTCTCAAGGCAGCTGAGGAGAGTTTTGGCAGTGAGCCAGACACAGTTGGAGTTACACAGTGTTGCCTCGCAGAAGCTGACAAAGATTTCCATGTCCTTTTCGACTTAGTCTTCCTACCAAAAGCAAGTTTTTATTGACGAATGACTTAAGATACCATAACTCACTTAAGAAACGCAAAAAGTGTCACGAATCCATAGAAACGGGCCAAGAGAGAAACACACTCCTGTATTCAACACATAGATAAAGTTAATTGTTATTTCTCAACATATTTGAACCTCGTGAGTTTGTTTTATTATTTTTCTTTTATTTACGCTTGTGTGATATCACCATTACCCTGGTTTCAGCTTGCACTACAGCCCGACGCCTCATTGATTTCGTCTACCTAAGATCAAAGTCACAATGTGGGTAGGTTAGACTTGAGATCAAAGCAGTTACTTTGGTGACCAAGTGTTGGAGGCGAGCTGAGAACAACAAAGCTGGTATCGAATCGGAAATGACCAGATTGACCAGGACACAGGCTGGTGGCAGCAAAAAAGGAGTCAACCCCAAAATGCTGGTGGAAGAAACCTTACAGCTTTGCGCTGCAACTGGGAGTTGACCATGGGCTGATGGCACAGTGTCATATATTGACGTCGCAACCAGTGGGCGTCACATATTGGCGCTGGACTGAGACTGCTGGTGGGTGTCACATTATAATCAAATGATACTGGGATCCCCTTATGAGGTTTGCAACTTGTGTTAGTAGCAATGTAAATTTCTAAATTCTGGTCTTCATGGCTGTCAGGAGGTCTCGGTGAATGATGTGGATTCCAGTAGCAGTAAATGTAAAGTTGTCCAAACCTCCAGCAAGAGTGTGTGGTTGACCAGGGTCTCGGTTCAGTTATTGGGTAGTTTTAGAAAGTGAGATCTGGACTTGTTAAAGAGGCAATAGAATAGCACCTGTTTTAGCTTGCATGTATGTAACTCAATGAGAAAGGAAGATGCAAAGAGAAGTGATCAGGGTGTCTGGTCATGGGCGTCAAAGCAAAGAACATCTGATTGGACATTGTTATTACTTACTGCTTTAACACATTTTAAACTTTGTAAATATAAAAAAGGAAAAAAAAAACAAAAAAACATTTGGTTAAAGTTTGGAAAGTGAGTTGGACCAATAAATTTCAGTGTCCGTCCCCCCTCATATAATAACCATTGGAAATTATACAATAATTACTTGGTAGATGAAACATTTGTATTAATTTTCCCTGCAAAGACAGTTCTCTTTCAATTAATTTGCTACTTACTTTTAATCCTGCAACATGAGCAAATAATGCCTATTGGATTTTTTTTAATGGTAATTTAAAATTCTCATGTCCAACAGCATTTTCTAGGGGTTACATAAATAAAAAAAAAAAAAATGTAAATTTGGTACATGCCAGTGAAACATCACAAGCTCACTTGAATTTGATAACTTCATTTAAATCTGAAGTTTGAGGTAAAAAAATACAAAAAAAGATATTGCATCCAAAAAATAATAAATTAAAAATATTTTCCTTAGCATTATGGCTTCAAATCCTTAAAGAGTTTTTTTTCCCTGGGAGGGAATGAGAGAAGAGAATGTCCCCTCTCTTATCCTGATCATTAACAAAGGTGCATAGAAACACAAGACTTGAAACTATTTTTTACAAAATAGGTTTGAACAAAAATTTCTGGAAATAACAGTTGACTAATGTTTATTTATAGCAACCCTCTCGTGGTGACAGAATGTGCCTACAGCATGCAAATTCTATGGTGACAATTTTTACCTCCAGCATAGTAAAGGTTACACTTCAAATTTACATGGGCAATAATAAGCCCACACATTTGATTGGATAATAAGAAGAAACAGTACATATTTTTTAATTTAAAATATGAATTTGAAACAATCCACCTTGACCAAAATATTTTTGGTAGTTCTTTAAAAGCCAATTCTGAAAATAGAAATTTTCACAAATGCAAATGTAACAATGTTTCATAAATTGTCTTTCTTTAAAATACATTTCTCTAAAAAGCATGTGTATAAGAGAAACCTAGATGATTATAATATCTATTTGTTTATTTACACTTATTATTATTATTATTTTCAATTATTATGTATTATTAAATAATTTTTTTATAGTCCTGCTATACTCTCTGTGTACAACCTGGCTACATTTTCACCAAGGGTCTCAACTCTTTTTGCCTGAAGTCAAGGGAAATAAATACCTAGGCTCATTCTTCAATCCTACTTATCCCCACTTCCTACCATGACCACAGACTGAATGTGTGTGGTCACAGAAGAGGTAATATAAGAGTACTTGTGTGAAGATCCTCACATCCAATGTAGTCATGTCAATCAGTCAGTTATGTGCCATGCGTGATACACACTTAGGCGATCATGTATCTTTCAATACATGACTGATGAGGCAGATTTTTTCCCCACAGTAGGTTGCCATTTCTTTTTGCGATAGACCAGTTGCTATCCAAGGCTATAGAACCTGGTCTGTCTGCTATTTACCCATAGCTGGGGGAGAAGAAAAGGATTCATACCTTTACCAAAGGTATTAGCATGTAAGTGAATGTAATGGATAAGAAGTAGTGAGTGACATGTGATTGGCATAGGAGGAAGAAGTAACTGAGGTTTATTAATTGCCCTTGTATAAAGACATAGTAGCAATAATTCAGGTACTGCTCCTGAGACTGCAATGACTTTGTCTAAATCATGGAGTGGCTGATAAAGTGACATCAGAATGCATATAAACAGTTCTTAACATACTGGCATCAGGTGGTTGGGAATCTATGAGTATATCCAATACATCAAGTGGTCATGACAAAGGTACAAAATATACGAGTATATCCAATACATCAAGTGGTCATGACAAAGGTACAGAACATATGAGAATATCCAATACATCAGGTAAGTGTATAGCCAAATCTGTGTCTGACTAACAATATTGGTTGCAAGAGATAAGACCTGTGGTTTGAGTTTAGAATTGTAAGCAACTGAGAATACCTTACAGAGTAAATGATGATTGTGTAAGGTAATGTAATTGTTACCATCAATCCCCACCTAGTATTGTCTCTTACTGAGAGAAACTCAACAATCCTTCTGGTTTTTATTCCTTAGGCATGAGTTGGGACCATCTTGATTCTGCATCAGCACAAAATCACCAATCTGTACCTCCTAAATTGGATGAGAATGACATTGTATTCATATATAGTGGAAAATGCAGCTCTCAGAGCACAATTAATAGACTGAGTTACATGTAGCTTTTGCTATGGTTCATGGTTAGGTAAAATTATTCAAGGTGTCTGCTGGGTGATAATGCAATTAGTTTCTTTCAAACTAAGCAACTCTCAAAATGGACCTATTACTTTGGGTTGGGAAAATGCTTAAGATACCTGATTAACAAGCTTAAATCAGGATTTGACACCAGAAAGTGGGCTTTGAGTTATGAAGAAGGACTTTAATCATTTGTTCAGTAGGCTTCACCGCATCAACTATAACCCTGAAATCTACAAACACCCATTCTTGAGCACTAAACTGTGAGGATCATCATCATCTTTTGTAATCATAGCGGGGATCTAAATGCAGAAACCACATTGAATCTCCTCCACAATGATCTATCAATGGCAGCTATCAGCAATTTTGGCATAGTCATACTTGTCCATTATCTGATATTGTCCAACCAGTTTCTGTATTGATATCCTCTTGTACATCCACCTTCAAATGGTGCTTTGCATGATGGTCTTACACAGGCTGTTATGCCTTGTAATGTGTACAAACCATGCCATTTTTCTGTTTGACAGTGGCAAGATGAGGTTCCTGGTGGTCCACAAAACTTTCGACCCTTTTCTGCGCAAACTCATTGGTTTTATGCCTCCAATAGAAGATGCCAAAGACTATTCTCATGCATTTGTTCTCAAATACTTGGATCCTTCTCTCTGTTTCTGCCAACAGTGTCCACATTTCACATCCACATAGGAGAATGGAGACTACCAGTAATTTGTACAGTCTGTATTTTGTGTAAAAGCTGATTTTACTCCTCCATCTTCTTGCCAATTTGACCATGGATGTGGCAATTCGTGTGCGGATTTCCGAGTTGCAGGTACTATCTTTAGACAAGATGGTATTTATCAATTCACCCACAGGAATTGAATGTGGCACAAGGCCTTTTTTAATGTGGGTATATCTGAGCCCATAGGCCCAGCAAAAATAAAACCCATCTAAACCCGGCCAAGCGGATTAGTTTTGTTAACCTAAATCTAAACCCCAACTTTTGGGCGGAGCTTTCGTCCGGGTTCCTCTCTGCAAGCAGAGAGTTCGACAGACACCCGACCCGGCAGCTCGATTGCTCCCAAGTATTTAAAACTGGACACTTCTTCCACTGAATTCCCATTCATGGTAATGTTGACACATGTTACTGTTTGTGCTGTTCACCATTAGTTTAGATTTCTTGGAGTTGACTCCATTCCATATGCTCCTGCTCTTTCAAAAAGTTTGTTGGTCAAGTCCTGGAGCTCATTGTTACTACCTGTTATGAGGTCAATGTCCTCTGCAAAATATAGGTTAAAGATGGGTCTACCACCAATAGAAATTGAAGGATCATGGTCATTCAGGGTTTCTTACATGATTCTCTCTAGAAATAGGTTGAACAATGTGGGTGAAAGTATTCATCCCTGTCTCACACTTGTCTGGAAGAATCCTCCCATTTGTTTTCCCAGAAGAACTGAGCTGGTGACATCTTTATATAGGGCCTGAATGACAGATAATTCTGTTATCTATATTGGATTCTCTATGGATTTACCAAAGACCGTCATGCCATAGACACGATCAAATGCTTTCTTGAAATCAACAAAGTTGTGGAACACATCCTTCTGATGCTGCAGGTGTTTCTCTACAAGGATTTGACAATTGAAGACCTGTTCCATTCTAAAATCAGCTTGTTCGTCTGATAGCAGTTCTTCAGCCTTAGCGTTCCTTTCTTTGGCAGAGGTATTACCAATGACCGAGTCCACTTGTTAGGCCACTTTTTTTTGTTCCCAAATCTGTCATAGTGCTGTTATAATTTTGACGGTTTCTTCACCTCCATGGGAACATTGTCCACTCTGGGTGACTTGTGACTTGCCAGGTTTCAAGTTCCTTACTGCCAACTCAACCACCTCTTTCAGTATTGACAAACTGATTGCATCTTCTCCTGATCACTTTGCAATATGGAGACATCTGGATGAAGCTGGTAATTGCATAAACCATCACAGTATTGGGTCCATCTATGGAGAATCTCCTGTCAACAATTTACCATTCTCGTCCTTTATGACTGTTGCTCTCTGTTGTCTGGTCTTATTGAGGGATTTGAGACTAATGTACACCTGTTTGTTATTGCCAGTAAGCATATCCTTCTCAATTGCTTTGGACTTTGTATCCACTCCTCTTTAGCTGCCTGCATTTTTCTCCTCACATCACTGTGCATTTCCTGAGATTGGTCAGAGACCTTAGCACTTGAGTGCTTCTTTCCCCTCAGCTGTCTCCTCTTGTCACACAAATCCAAGATTTTGTTTATGACCCACGGTTGGATTTTCCGTTGCCATTTACCCCAAACTTCCTCAGCTGTTGTGAGTAACACTTGTTTAATGTGATCTGCAAAAGTATTTACATCACTGTTAAGTAGGTTCAGGGCTGTGAACTTACTGCCAACTTTGGTCTGGAACAGTTGAGTGATTTCAGGGTCTTTTAGTTTCTCATGGTTGAAGTGGATGCAGGAGTCCATTGAACAGTGCTTAGTTTTCAGTCTTAATTTAAAAGTTGTTATGCCAAGATCATGATTGCTGCCAATGTCTTCATCAGGAAATGTTATTGTATTTGCCTTGTTAATGCTGGATTTATAAATTGGTGGGGAAATTATTTAATTATACTCAGTTTAGTGTTTTGTTCAAAGTTCAATAGTGAGGTACAGCTATATGAATTTCCACAGTCACCTGGAATAAAGGTGATGACAAGTTTCCTTTCCTGTCATGGTTTGTAGCTGCTGATGTGAAGGTTGTCCTGATGTTATATGAACTGCAGATCCTTTGTATTTTCTCTGATAACCCTTTCACATAAGGCAGGCAGACTGGGATAGGCGGGTACAAGAGGAGGAGGACAACAACACTCAGAAAACAGTCTATAACATCAGGACAACCTTCAAAAGCTTGACGACACTTCGCAGATATCTCTCCCAAGTAAGAACCCCCCATAGAGGAGAACATGATTAAAGACTGTGTGTACACTATCCCATGCAGCTGCAGAAAGGAATATAAAGGAGAGACAGGCTGCCCCCTCAAGGTAAGGCTTCAAGAACACCAGAAAGCTGTAACCCGAGGGCAAGTAGAAAAATCAGGCATGGCTGACCACATATGGAGAGAGAAGGGAGATCACTGCCCTCTGTGGGATCATGTTGAGATCATAGACAAGGAACACCATTGGAAAATTCATAAACTTAAGGAATCAGCACATATGCTAGGCCACAAAAATCTCCTGAGCCGACCAAGCATAGAAATAAATACAATATGGGAACCAGTAATAAGGAGTGCCAGAGAAAAGCAATAACAACAAAGTTGCAATATGAGCTCTGGTAAAAACATGCAATGATAACAGCAAAAATTGCAATATGAGCACTGGTAAAAATGGTTGCTGAAGACATTAGGTTTATAATACCCAGAAATTCATACCCAGATGTCCTCAAGGACACATGGCACAGTGGATAAAGGCGTTGGTTAGATCCAGTGACAGGACCCAAAGCATGTGAGTTCGGTTAAGGCAGTGGAGAACTTTCAGAGGGAAATTAGCAGGAGATAACTGATAACTGACATCCATCAAAAACATGCCATGTGGAACTAGAACAGTCTACCCCAGTGAGCGAAATAAAAGGTTCAGTTCGAAATTCCAACCACCTGAAAAAGGCCGGAGTGTACAACGTCCGAAACGTTGTGATAAATATGGTGACAAAGATGAGGACAATAGTCCAAATAATGTAAATAATGAACTCTCATTTTAGGTTTAATGAAAGGATTAAATTTACTATTTCCAATAAGCAAAATACTCTGATGTATTTCAAACAGATTGATTGGAATCAATTTTTTTTTGTTAAATAGCTGATTAGAGGCCTTTTTTAGTCACCTTTCATCGCAATGTAAAAATCTTCCAAAAATAAAATATATACTTCCCTGAAACTTTGAGAAATATTACCAGATTTAAAGTATAATTAATCTGATTGAAACTTATTTACTTTAAGTTTAAAAATAACACAGAAATGCATTTTTAAACCAAATAGTAGCTGTGTTTTTAACCAACAGTAACCATGTTTATGTTTTTGACAAGTGACAAAAAAGTGATGACAGGTTCTACTTTATGTGTAAAATAATTTAAGAAAATGACGTGAATGCCCTTTTTATATAAATTTTAAGTACCCAGTAATCTTAAAAATTTAAGAAAACATTCTCCATAATCTAATTTTAGGAATGTTGACTTTAAATTTACTATAGCCATTGCTCTTATTTTCTGATAATATATGGCTGCCTACTTTAGAAAATTGGTACGTTTATATACAGAAAAAATCCAAAATTCTTGTAAAAATTCATTATTCATCAAAAAAATTTTTTCTTAAGACAATAGTATCCTTACTACATTTTATTTATAAAAGCAATTAAAAGCTTTCCTAATTAAATAATGTCATAGTTTATTTCATTTTTTTATTTTAGAATTCAGAACAGATTTTCAATAAATGGTGTTCCCACTCAACAAAAAATGATTACTAAAATTCTCAGGGTGTCCTGCTTTTAACTAATATAAATATCAAAAGGCTGAAATATTAATTTCTTGAAATTTCATAAAATTAAGTAAGTTGAGGGGGAGATTAATAGATGTAAAAAATATATTTTTACCAAGATTTTTTTAAAAAAATTTAAAAAATAATTTCATTCATTTGTGAATAAGTCCTGAAAGTTTCATAAAAATCCTACAATTATTTCATTTTTGCAAATTACCAAATCAATGTGTTTTTTTTTACTGAAATAAAGGCACTACCCATAGTAATCTTTGGTTCACCCACTGACACTAAAAAAGTTTTTTAACCAAAATTTCTAATGTGCTAGAAAGGATTAAAAAAAATTAATAATATAAATCAAATACTTTGGTTTTAATAATAAACATTTTGATGATAAAACTTTGTTTTTATCAAGTTTGGGGCTTTTTTTTATCATGGTATGCTCTTTTTTAGTGAAAAAAAAAAAGAGTGAAGGTACCTACAATAGACTAAAAATGTGTAAGTATTAAGTCAAACTGATGGCTTCAGTGAAAGGAAACGAGATAACAGTGGGGTAACAGCTGTTCTACAAGGACAATTGCATAGGGTACTTTTCATTTGTGTTTACTGAAGACTTATAATGTGATTGTAGCAGTTTCAAAGTTGTTTTTAAATTGTTGGTAGTACAACAGATGTGTCAAATGACCTTCAGTCTTCTTCAGCTGCTTTTTCAGTTACTAACTTGTCTCACAAAACACCATGTCTAATGTTTTCAATGATTCTTGAGCTTCTGGCATACTTTCTTAATATGACCTATTCCACAGTTGTGGCACCAGTTGACTGCTAGAGAGTATGTCCACCTCAATGATTTTCCTGGATGTGATGTTTTCTCACAATCAAAACAAGGATTTACATTAGGTGAAATAGCAGAACCCTGCAATTTCTGAATTCATGACACTTATATCTTGATCTTTGTGTAGATAATAATGTTAGTGTGGTAGCAACATCATGCAGATGAATAGCTGATTTATCTGTCATCTCTAGACTGTCAAATTTTTGTAACTTAAGAATGGCTGTCTCGGTCTGAAACCCACTCACATGTGTTGGTGAGTCAAGCTCTAATCTTCTCGGCAAAGTTTACCAGCTTACCACAGCTACTAGTGTGAAGACTAGGAACCACAAAGAAGTAGAAATTATCCTGAGCCTGCAATCATACCCAAAATTGATGCGCTAAATGGAAGGTCTAATAATATACCTCCTTGTGCAGGCTCTTCACTACAATTTATTCAATCTGGACTTGTAGTAGTTGTTCTTCAATATCTACATTGAAAATATCAGCTTCTATAAGGTAGAAGAGAAGTCTGGATATCTGAGCAGAATACAATGACCAAGTCAGTTTATCTTAGTGTATTGTGTCCAGGCATCAAGAAACAATACTCCATCATTTTGAGAAGAATTGGTTTCAATGACTGGTTGATATGAGATGGTATGTTAGGAACTTTACTCCTTTGAAAGGTAATATTTTTGCTGTAAAGCAATCTTCTGTTATATTAATTGTATTAAGAATTGCTGGCTGTATTCACTTGGTATAGACTTGCCATTTTTATTCAAGAAGCCATGCACCATGTCCATATTAATGTTTAAATACTTGTCTGGAATAATGAGCCCTTGAAAACATTTGCTATATTCCCCTGCACATTGAAATAGCTCAGATTCTATAAATGTAATTTGGATTGTTCTCTATTCACAAAATCATGTCCACAGCACCATGTACAGGTTGGAATTCTACTGTCTCCATTTTCACCAAGGAGGATAACAACAGTTGCTCGTTTTATAAATTTACCTGTAGGTTGGTGAGTTCCCTGCACCAAACTGATAAATATTAAAATCTCCCAACTGTCTTTTAACTTTCTGAAATATTTAAATAAACATAAAACTTGTCATTTGGCCTAGAGATAATCTAAAAAAAAATTCTTCACTTTTCTTTATTCAGTGTGACACACACAAGGCCATAAAGGTGTATTGTGGCAATTACACTTGCTAATAAAGACTTGCAAAGCTATTTTGAAAAATTATCACTTAATGAAAAAATACCTTTTTCTATATAAAATTTAAAATAAGCACTTTCATTGGTCTACAACTGCTAAAAAGTCATCATGGATCATAGAACTAGCCAAGTTAATAATAATGGCTCTGCTTCATCTAGGAAATTCAAATTTTTTAACTGGAATGCTAAACAAAAATTTATAACCTTCCTGGATCAAGTATTTTTTCATTAAATATTTTAATTTCTAACTAGGCAATTGCAAATTTTTTATCCTGAAATAAATATCATTAAAAGATTTATGTATGAAAAACTCAAAATTGTAAGTGAATTTATTGTATAATTTGGAGCAGATTGACTAATTGAAATTAAGCAAGTAATGGATAAGATTGAATGACAATACAAACCTGATCAAAAGCTGGAAAGATATAATCTGCAAATTGAATCTCTGCAATGGCAGTGGCCCCAGTTGTTGCTGCCCCAATGCCAAAAGCAACAATTCCCTGTTCACTGAGGGGGGTGTTAAATACTCGATCTTTACCTAAAAACATTTACAAATAGATCAAAAGATTAAAAATGAATGACAAGGTTTCTGTAAAAGAAACGAGTTGAGTGTGGTCAAATGAAAAATCTTAGAAATGTGAAACAATTGCTCTAAAGTTTGTATTAATATTTTCATTTTTAACAGACATTTTTCAATTAGTTATTTTCATTGAATTGACAAAAAAACTGAGAGAAACAATGTTGCTTGAAATTATTCTGATCCCTACCTAAATAATAATGAAAAAAACCTAGCAATTATTTCCTAATATGTTAATTTCCTTTCTATACAGCTGTGAATTAATTTGATATTGTTAATAATGATACTGAAACTTACATCACAAAATATATACTGAATTATTATGCAACAAATTTACAGCACACATTTTTAGATATATTGTAACACTGAGGCCATGAGGTGGTTAAATGTTGATTCTGAGCTCAAAATGGAATGTAAGCTGGAAGATAGAGAGAGAGTGGAGAGATTTTCCTTGGTGAAAATGGGACTGTCTAGATTTATTCTCTCCTAAAGCTTATTTTTCTTATCTATCGAGAGTCTAGTATGTGCATAAAAAAAGATTTGGTGAACAATTTTATCTCTTCCTTGAGAATTTAGGTAATCAAATATATTTACATTGATCAAAACGAATTGGGAAATGAAAACAAACAACTCCATTGTGAGGGTTAAAGTTATGAAGATTGATCCTGTTATGATAAGCAGGTGATCTGGTTTGTGTTTTTGTTAGACTGACATCAGCCCAGAGATGGAGAACAATTTTATCTCTTCCTTGAAAATTTAGGCAAATAAGTATATTTTTGCAAATGAAAACGAATTAGGAAATGAAAACAAAGAATGAACCCTTCTTCTTAGGGTTGAAGTTATGTAAACAGATCCTCTTGTTGCCGAGAGGGTGATCTGGTTTGTGTTTTTGCTGGACATAAATAAGTCCAAGAATGGAGAGATAATTTTATCTCTACCTTGAGGAAACAGGAGGATTAAAATTAAAGATTGGAGTGAGCTATGGCTTTTCATGCACATGATTTGAGAATTGGATCTGGCACAGAGACAGTTATACCAGCCCTGAGAGGTGGGCTGAGGTAGAATGCTGAGAAGGAAGGAGAAAGAGGGAGGATTTGGTGCTCCCTGTGTGGAGTGGTGGTGCAAGATGTGAAGTGAAGCAGGTTGGATTTAGTGGGAGGAGAAATCCCTGTAACTACTCCCAAGGAGGTGGATAATTCTCCAAATTTGGAAAGTTAATTAAGAAAGCAGAAATAGGGAACAAAGAACCTTCATTAGGATTAATGTGGAATTTGAAGAATCAACAAATCCCAAGAACTCATTGGCCCCACACCAGTTTGGGGCCAAAGTGCATATAAGCAGATAGGTTTGAGAGCTTGAAGATTTGGGTTGAGAAATCAATATCGAGTGCCACTGGAATCCACATCAGCTGCCACCAGATTTCTTGATTCTAAAGAACTTTGAACCCAAATTATTAGGAGAGGCACAGTGTCACTATAGAGACTGATGCAGAAAGGGTTAATTTTTGTTGTACCAAGAACTATATAAAGCAATTAAAGATTGACCCCATAAATCTTTTGTTTTATGCTTTTGTTGTGAAGATATTTCTTTAATATGGCATCTGCCACAGCTTGAACCAGCGCTGTGATTACTATGACTTTCGATCTTCCACTGCTCTGAGATCAAGAATACAATGTTGGTTGAAGTGGCCAGTGACCAAGAACCAGCTTGGACCAGTGTCAGCACTGACCTGCACAGAGTTAGCCCCGCAGTTAAAACGCCGTTTTAAGACCTGGAAGACCAGACCACAAAACATAGTTACATGACCGGGTGTAGGCAGTGGCAAAAGGTTTTATAACTACAGACAAGAGAAAAGACAAATTTACAAACAAGGGCCAACTGTTTTCAAAAGATTTTCATTAAAGTCCATTTTGTCTTAAATTAAGATAAAAAACAGATGTTCTATGAATTTTGATTTTGTCTCATTTTTTTTTATACATGTTGTATGTCACATTTTGTAATCTTTTTTTTGTCAATCTTCAACTCATTAATCAAAGTGATCAAGTTTGATTTTGTAAATTTAGGTTAAAATTTAACAATCAAAAACAACCATATGAAGATATCAATACAAAGAATTCATTGACTAATGACAATATTTCATCTTAGATCTTTATATAATGCTAAGTAAGTCAGTGTCCACTAGTCAAAAAAAAGTACTAAAATCAAAATGAAAATTCTAGCTCAAGTACTATTTTATAACAGAAAATTATGGATGCAATAAAGAAAAAATGTGACATGTTTATTATATTAATAGAACATTTGAGAAGTACTTTTTTATTCCACACATTTAGCACAGGACTGTAGAGAGTAGAAAAATGATTCTGAATCCATTTAAGGTCAGGCTACATTCAATTTGAACCGTAAAATGATTTTTTAAATTAAATAAAAATGTAATTCTTTAATGTCAGTAAAATTTAATATGAAAACTACTATCATAAAAAAGTCAAACAGAACTGTTATGATGTGTAGTAGCATTTGCGAGTTCCTCACAAACTCTGCTCACAAAATCCTTTCCTCTCATGACAACTCAAGTTTTATGTAGTATCTCACAGCTATCTGCAAATTATCAAACACATTTGCATATTATTATATCTCCTTGAAACAGAAGGGTTTAATTCTCTTGGTTGATCTTTTGCTTCTGCTACAGTCTGTTCCATTTTCTCATTTGACTCTATAGAATCGCAATCTTGATAGCTCATCCACATGCGATATTGAATTACCCTTGACATATATGTCAAAATCCAAGGTCATCAGTCTTATTGCTCACATTAAAATCCTTGACATTGGATTTTAGTTAATTCTTTTCTTGAATTGAATATAAATTCTAATGGTCTATGATCACATATTAAAATTTTTTTCCCAATTAAAAACTGACAGGCTCTAGTGGTCATCCATACAATTGTCAAAGTTTCCTTTTTAATATTTGAATATTTCAAGTCAGTGTTTGTCAACTTCCTTGATACATTACTGGATGTTTTCTTATGATAGTGTTCTCAATAATGAATGCTCGTTAGCATCTGTAGTCAACGTTATATCTTTAGTTGGATCAAATATTTTGACTGGTATTTCAGCAAGAGTTAATTTTAGTTGGTGAAATGTTTTTGTTGGGTCTTCTCCCATATGAATTCTGCATACTTTTTTCTTAGCGCAGCAAATGACTTGGTCAATTCTGTATATCTTGGTATCATCTATAAAAATTTACAAATCCCCAAAAGGATTCCAATTCTTTTTTTAGTTTTTTGGTACTAATACTTCCAGATTTTTTTTCTATTAATACTTGTTATAGTGACACTCTCTCCTTAAAAATGGAATATCCCTGAAAATTTATTTAACTGGTGTTATGTACATATTTTTTATTTATTTATGTTCATTCCCACATTTCTTAATCTTCAATAAAATTCAGTTTTCTATTTAAGTTCTATTTCATACCAGACCTCTAAGAAAATCATATCTTGATAGCACACAATATTTTCTATATCGCTTCCAATGACTTGTTCTATGGTTCTTTAAAAAATATCAAATGACCTTTTACTGCCACCAGGTGAAATATAGGTGAACATTTTCACTTAACCTAAGAATTGCTTTATATTAACTTGTTTTCAGCATGCCACTTTCTTCAGTATTCAAAGGATTAATTAAATTTATGAAATTATCTTTGAGTACATTATTTCCAATATGATGCTTATTACAGTCTACAACAATTACAAGTATTATTTCAAATCTTTTGTTTAATTCAAGGGATACTTCAAAGCATCCTAGCATTTATATAACTAAGCCATTAAATTGTCATTGGGAATTTTGGCTTTCCTTGTCATTAAAAAATTTATGAGAATGAGTGTTACCTTGCTGCCTGTATCCATTTGCCTATCTAAATTGGTATTGTTTATTTTAACTGACATTAAAATGTTTTCTTTTTCTTAAAACAAAAATCTCCACATTGCTTCTTAACATCTTTCTTTTTGACTTTGCATATATCTTGGAAGTGGTTCCTTTCTAAACACTGGGCACATCTTTCTTTCTCTCATGTAAATACCCACAATATTTTGTTCCCTTTATTAAGTATGTAGTGGCAATTTCTAATGTTTTCTGTTGATTTTCATATTTGTGGATTATCTCAATCATTTCTAGCTGTTGAATAAATTCTGCAAAAACATTCAAAGATATGTTTCCTAATTGAAGTTACTCAAGCATTTTACATTGATATTTTTTATTGTGTAATTGTAGCAGAATTTTATGTATCACATAAATGAAAACTAGGGGTAGATCTCTTCACTCATATGCATCTTCTTAGCAGCAGAACTATCATCTCATCTTCGGACGAATTGCTTCCCAAAGAAGCAGAAAGTTCTGGAGAGACAGGGGGAGCTCATGTTATATTGAAAGAGAGATGGGTCGCTAAGTGTAAAGTGTGTGGTTATGGGTTTTTGGGCTGTGTAAGGACATAACACAGTTGGACATCATTTTCTGGATGTAACCAGCATGCAACCTCCACTATTTCCCCATTTGACACAAGAGCTAAGGAATTCAAGTCTACCTACACTTTAAATTTGTGTCCATCAACACAGCATTTACCTTGTCTGGACCTTCCTGTTGTACCCTGATAATGACATCCATGATCATATTTCTGAGAGGGGCACCAGTTACATCATTCAAACCAGTAATAACTGCCATTGCTCTATGTTTAATAAAGGTGGTTGTGACATAGTGCCATCCACCAACAGGATAGTGTCCTACTAGTTTTTTACACATCAGCATTTCAGACATTTTTGGTATTTCACTCCAATGCTTCCAGTAAAGCATGTTATGCTCCCTCCAGACTTGCAAGCGAAGCACTTGAGTATTGTTTTCCACACGTTCTGGGACTTTGCACTGATGTGGATTCATTAAATGGATAGTGGCTCTGAGAGCAGAGTTTGAATTCCAGTCAAATCCATTACATTCACTTACATGCAAATACCCTTGGAAAAGTATGAATCCTCTTCTTCTCCCCCCAGCTATGGGTAAATAGCAGGACAGGCCGGATTCTATAGCCTTGGATGGCAACTGGTCTATCGCAGAAAGAAATGGCAACCTACTGTGGGGAAAAATCTGCCTCATCAGTCATGTATCGAAAGATATATGATCACCTAAGCGTGTATCACATATGTTACATAACTGACTGTCCACCATGTCGGTACAATTACCAAAATAGTTTGTAGCAGAATTTTATGTGGGTGATAAAATTCAGTTCAATTGCAATCAAAGTTACCTGTTTTATAGAACCTAAGTTACATAGTGCAATACGAATATTGTTCAGAATTTACATATTCTTCAAGACTCATGCTGACAACGAGAGTTTATGCAGGCCATGCATGTCATATTTCTTTTTTATCAACCATGCCATCATTGTGACATGTATTAGTATTAGTAGTAGTTGCAAGTCCCTCACAATAGGTACTTATTTGTCCACCTCATGACTACTGAAGTTTATATAGTCTCTCATCTATAGGCAAAATGAACCAACTGTTACATTTACATATTACAAAAACAGTTCCACTTTCTTATTTACATACATACATAGCTGCACAAGCATGAGCCAAAAAGTCACTTATGTTTTTTCTCACTTTAACATTTTTTAAGTAAAGAATAAAATTTTAGGTGCTGAAAAGGTTTTGGCCCAATTAAGAAGGGATTTAAAAAGGAATTGGGTTGGGGTAAGTACTTTTCAGCACCCACTTGTTTTTGATCATTTTAATATTCTTATTTATGAGTGATAAAACATGATCCACAAGCAGTTTGGCAATTTTTAACCTCTAACACAAAAGATGAATTAAAAATATAAATAAAAAGTTACTAACCAAATTTGTCTTTCAATCCAACAGTACATCTAAAAACACCTCCAAAAGCAACATCTTCTCCAAAAATAACTGGAAAACAAAATAAACAGTCAAATCAACAGGAATAAACAAAGACAGGCACATATACACAGAAAAAAAAAAAAACAAAAAAAAAAAAAAACATTAATTTCCTTTTCAAGAAAAATTGTTTATATTATTCTTAATTCAACTGACATATTTTTTATCCTATGGTCTAAAATTTAATACACAAGATCTAGTTTTGGAGATCTTAGTAAACAAAATTGCACTCTGGAATTGCAAGGTGCAACAAATGTTAAAAATATTGTGAATTTTGCATTAAAGTTTTGGTTACCAAAACTCAAATACTGAGAGACTAGAACTATTTTTAATTACTGCCAATATCAATAAAGTTTTGACTTTATTAAAAGAGAGCAATATACTTAACACTTTAGAATTAAATATGTGCTTATATCTGACAGGAGCAAACAGTTCTCAAAAACAGTTTTATGCTGCTACTGTACAAAATAACTCAGTAAAAGGTCATTTTGAGTTTTCTTACACTATTGTTTATGACAATATTTTTTTTGTTTTGACAATAAATCATTTTTTTATTGTTTTCCCACCCTGCAACTTACTTGCAGTCGGATCAGATTCCAAAGCAATTTCCATGGCATTTGTGATACTTTGAAATAAGTTCATTTTCATTGTTTCACCTGAAGTAAAATTAGAAAACAATTTAGACAAAACATTGCATTTAACAAAATAGATGAAAACAAATAGAAAATCATTGTAAGAATTGTTTTGCTAATTACTTATTATTTTAATATATTTTTGGTTCCATCCTCTGTACATTTGGTTTTGATTGTATATTTCAGTAGTTATGAAGTAGCAGTTAAAATATTAAATGGTAAACCACCATCATTCAGTGGTAAACACATGTCTTCTATATACAAAAGATAGCAGGTTTAAACCCAATTAAAGTTTTTGAAAATTCAAAAATTTAAGAAAATGTTTTGTCTATTTTTTATAAAACTTAATTTCACAGGATATCTTGTTCCAATTATTTTTTAATTAAAAATAGTTATTAATATATGTAAAACACCTTAAATTGAAAATTTAATGTTATTAAATACCTATTCCTTGAAATAACAAGTTAAAAATGATTGCATAAAATTCTACTATGCATTCCAATACATCTCACCTTTTGAAGGAATGAGAAAATTTGATCCTAGTTATTAATTTCATATTCATTACTTTATCTTCTAAATTAAAATCTATTGTTGGGGCAAAAGTATCTAATTATACTGGGTACATGAACATCTCAGTCATGTTACATATAAGCCAGCAAAAATATTGCAACAATTTGTGACTTTTATATTTCTGGTAATAACCAAATGGTCTTGGGTATGACAATAAACTACAACCGGCAGCAAAAACTCTGACCAAGAGGGTGGAAGTTTTAAGGAGTGTGGAACAACTCGTTAACTGCTGTTGTTCTCAGGTCCACCCTGAACTGGGGTGGTAGAACCCGTTAGGGTTCCAGCTATGGGCAAATAGTGAACTCCCCAAACAAAAGACTATGAAAGTATAAAAATACATTTATATAGTAATACCAGCAATACATTTTTAAAACAAAAAAATAATACCATAAATATTTAAAAAAAAAAAAATCACCAACAATATATTTTATAGCAAGATGACAAACAATACATTTTATCTGTAGTTGAAGTCATAAAATTGTGATTAAAATGTTTAGATTTCATCCTTAAATAACCCATAGAGGTTGATATGTTGCTAAAAATTAAAACAACCAATATGAAAGCACTTTTGCAATATTAATGCATATAATATCCTACAATTTCTTAAAGAAATAAAACTGCATTCCAAAATATAACTTCAACAAAACAACATAAAACACATGTACCCACCACCTCTAGTAATCATGTCTACACAAATATGTATATGCATAAAACCTGAGCATCATCTACCAATTGCGAAAGCAGAATAACATCTTATTTTTACTACTTCAAAGCTCCTAAGAAAATTAAACTTCGGCATTAAATAAGGAGTTGATATGCCGTTAAACAAACTAATAATTGCAAAAGTTTAATGAGTCCTGCTGGTCCCTCTCAACTTTGAATTATGTAAATCCTGTGAAAGAATTTATGAATGACAAGCAAAAATGTCAAATTCTATTTCTTATGATTTAAATACCTGAATTCTTAAAATGTCTGTTCCTAGAACAAAAAAAAAAAGAGAAGTTTTTTTTAAGGCCTTCTCTTCCATGTTAAATTTTACATTTCAAACAGTTTTCATTGAAAGGAATTTTTGGTCAATAAGAAGTCCATACAATTACTTATATGGACTTATGAAAAATTATTATTCAGCAAAAATTAATATTATTGTTTTTGCTTTTTTTTAAACATTTACTGATTCTTTTGAATTAGTATTCTTGTTTGTATAAAAAAATTTAACTAATATACCCTCTATCCTTTCTTGGGTGTATTTTTTAAAAGGGTCTTTATCTTAGGGAATAGAATATTGTTCTGATGCCTCACTTTCTGCCAGATCTGATAAAAATTTAAACAACACATTACAATAACTCATTGGTTAACTTGCCATTTATCTGATAACAATTTTATTAAATCATATCTACAACCAAAACAATAACAAATCTTATCAATAATACAAAAATATTATAACTGCTAACAATGTATTAGAAACCTTAAACAAAAAACTAACAACCCAGCATCAACAAAATTTCCTTCAATAGACTAAAGGAAAAACAGTAAATATATTTCACAACTAGAACAAAAAATCACAAAACACCACAAGCTGATGTATGAACATGTAGTGAAGAAAATGGTGACTTACCTCATCAAACCAAGCAACAGTGTGTCACATGTATGCTATGCCAGAAAAGAAAGAAAGCATGCACATGACTCTTGTTTATATATGAGAACATCATGTAAATTTTTTGTTGGGCCTCAACCAATCCCTGACTTCTTGACTTAGATCTATACAGGTGCTAGCTCCCAATCATTATCCAGCATGAAGGAGAATTTTGTGGGACAGTAGCTGCTGTATCGAAGTTTATCCCCTTAAAATCTTACAAGCTATTTCGGCATCATAACAGATAAGATGTCTGACATCAAGTTGATACCCAAATTTGATAGTTCAGGGACCAGACAAGCAGTTACTGAATGGAGTGAAAGAGCAGAACTCATTTGTGATCTGTGTGAAATCAAGAAGGCTGTACATGTTCTTCCCTTGAGATTGACTAGCGGGGCATTTGCTGTCTACCAGCAGCTAACTACAGAGCAAACTGCAACTGCTGAACAGATAAAATGAGCCCTGCGGATTGCCTTTGTGTTGGATCATTTCCTAGCTTATGAGCAGTTTGTGGAGCCACAATTGTGCCTGGACTAGTCTGTCAATATGTTTCTAGCTGATTTGAAGAAACTAGCAGGACTATTTGGTGAGATATCCAAGCAAGGACTAGCATGTGCTTTCATAGCAGGACTGCCGACACACGTCAAGTAAATACTATGCATGTCTCCCATAATGGAAGACAACTGCTGGACCAAGCTTGGGTTATAATGAATGATCAGACTGCAACTGAGGAAATGGCTGCAGCTAGCATTTCACCAGTCAGAGCAGCAGCTGATAAACTTCCAAATGTTAAATGTTGAGAGGGTATGTGATGCTCTGGGTGGAATCACCTTTCCAAAGACTGCCCAGACAGACAAAAAGATGCACAAGCCTGTCAGCCACAAAGGATACATGCAACAATGCGTTGCATCCGATGTCATAGGTTAGGTCACATTTCTTCAGTGTGTCCAGGAAAAGGGGAAGGGGACGATGTCAGCGCTGGTTTCTTCCCCAAGGGAGTTATGAATGAGGCAATACCTGTCTTAGATGTTCACGTGAATGGAATAAAGAGAGTGGCACTAGTGTACATGGGTTGCTCACAGTCACTTGCAAGTAAGTCAATCCTGGCAGAAGGGGGTGACATACTTACCATAAATGGTAACAGCCTCAAAAGCAGTGGAGTTAGAAACATCTAGCTTAATGTGGACAATACAACCCCACTCAACATTGAGGTCTTGATAGTGGATGAAGAGTTATTAATCTGTTGCTTGAGTTTGACTATTAAAAAACTGAGCAGACTCCAAATAACAGAGTGGTAATGTATGGTTTCCCAAGCACAAGATGGCTCACTGCACAGCCATTAACATAGAAGAACCCAATTTCTGTGCTGAATTCCAGTCAAACCAGAAGATATAGGTCACAACATGAAAGTTCTCAGATGGTCAAACACCAGAGAATTTGTGGAACAGAATGCAGGAGTACCCAATATGAAAAGATGTCAAGGAAGAATACAACCATGAACTGCAGACCTTGCTTGATGGTTGCAGCCTTATTCTGAGAAGGAACTTGGTCCCTCAAAGATCTAATTCTGTTGATGGTGGTGTGCAGAAAAATAAGAGTAAAGTGAAGCTAGTATTTGACTATTGGGAACTGGATGAATGCTTAGACACACACAGCCAATGCTGATGTGTGTGCACAGCAACTGAGGGAGTGGCAACCAAAAGGACCTGATGTTGTTATTCTTGATCAATGACAAGCCTACCTACAAGCGCATATCTACTACCTTACATTGATTGGCTGTGGTCCCAGTTGATTTGCGATATCATGACATCTGCTTCAGCAAGATTCAAGAAGCTTCACCCGACACCTAGAAACTATTTGAACTCACACTATTTGGGTCCTGTCACTGGATCTAACCAATGCCTTTATCCATTGTTCAATACCCGGTTAAGGCAGTGGAGAACTTTTAGAGGGGAATTAACAGGAGATAACTGATAACTGACATCTATCAAACATGGCACGTGGAACTAGAACAGTCTACCCCAGTGAGCGAAATAAAGGGTTCAGTTCGATATTCCAACCACCTGAAGAAGGCCGGAGCATACAACGGCTGAAACGTTGTGATAAATATGGCGATAAAGATGTGGACAATAGTCCGAATAATGTAAATAATGTACATAATACCTCATCTCAGAAATATAGACAGACTCGAAAGGATTTCCTTATGTAAGAAATACACTCCAGAAGAATACATTGCATTGACCAAGGAGAACCTGCAAAACAGAGATAGCATATTAGGATTTTAATGCCAATGACTATGATGAACCCATGTTATGGCTTACGAAGTGCCCAGTTTCACCTCTGGTCAACAGGTAAGGGCATTTCTAATGCAGTACGGAGACAATAGAGGTGATTCTGGAAAAGAAGATAGGTCAATGGCAATATGAATCACAAATCATTCAACTCATTCCCCAATTGGATGATTTTAAATGGCAGAAAGTTGCCACTTATTGTTTCAGGATGCAAACCAACTTGCTGGCAATGGGCATCTCTCCATAGTTTTCTTCCAAAAAAGAAAAGATGTGCAGAGCACATTAAATCATAGTCCTTTGCCTATGAATGAGACTAATAAAAAGACCAACAACAAGAATCAAGAGAATAGTGTAATTTTACTTTTCTCAGCACCTGAAACAGCAGAGAAGGAGAATGATTAGCAGGTAGTGGCTAAAAAGAACAAAAAGGCATCATTAACCCTATCTCTTCTAAGAAGGAAGAAAAGACCAGCTACGCAGAGACTGTAAAGACATTAATTATTTTATATGTGAGCCCTTTGTAATGAAAA